TCTTATCTTCGTGTTTTGATCAATTATCGTGAAGCATGGTTTCGTGCTCTGATGGCATTCTTCACATGATGGACGAAAGCTTAACAAGGATTCACCAGGTCTTAGGGCGGTGTGTATCTTATTCGCAGAAATTTACAATCATCTCTCTAAGTCAACCTTCCTTCAGCTTCCGGTGGGCTTACTTACGGTATCCTTCTATCCTCCTCTTCAAAAAAGTGAAAGGTATGTGAACATTTTAGCCAATAATTTGGAACCCGTATGTATCATTTTTTAAAAGACTTTGGAGCGTAAGATTTAGATTTGAGACTAATTTGTGAAGACAAGCTCAAATCATTTGATAGAAAAAAGATTTTTACTAGAATACGTTCATCCCCCGCTATAGTTACCCGAATCATTTTATGCAAATAATAGCTTTCATGAGCCGATTGGTCACCCACTCGTCTTATCTTAACCAAGTATTTTGCCTTGCTTCCTATTTCATTCAACTTCATACTCAGCTCTTGTCTACGCCACTATATTCGGCAACGTGACTACCATCCTCCAGCAGACCTACGCTTCCAGAGCTCGTTTCCAGGAAATGATAGCGAACGTAAAGGATTTCATCAAACTTCATAATGTGCCCAAAGAACTCGCTGAAAGGGTGCTGGACTATATCACTTCAAGTTGGTCTCTGACAAAAGGTGTTGACACCGACATGGTGAGACCCCGGAGTGCTAGTGATAGTTCTTAAGCTCGGTTGCCTCACTCACTTGCCACTGAAAAATTAGACCCATGTCTAAAATTGTTAGAATAGTTGGCTTAGCAATGTTCGAAGTGTATGCGATTACGAATACGGTCACAAAATTGGCTCCTCGTACGTCCCACTTGGCATGCAACGGACTCTTGTCCTGAATTTTAGTTATCATGGAAACATCATAAAGCTCCGGGGTGCACCGGTATGTAATGAGGCTCGTTGAAACCAGGATTTTGGGGCTTGTTCTTTGACCTCGGCAAAACAATACCGTAAGCCAAAGCAAAAATTTCCACTAAATTTGTTGAAATGTTGACTTTTTTTCTGAAGTTGCGTCACAAGTCTATGTCTAGGCTTGTTATTCTGTTGTACCTTCTGAAATCAAATTGTGTATTCTTCAAAATTGACCAGTAGACGAGATGCAGCTTCCATACAAACGACGCTAACCGAAAGCGACATATTCAGATAAATTGAGGAATGGCAATGCCTCAACTCTTGACTGTTTCGCACAACTCGGGAGGGTGGAAAATTGGATAAGGGGGTCACATAAATCAAGTGAAAGTAGCTGGCACCAACAGATAAAATTTTACGCCTGGCAGCTTCTGAGAGGCCACAATGTAAATTAACACGGGGCTGTTTAGATAAAGAGGAGTCTGATCCCGAAATACGAATGACTTAAGAGGTTTTTACTCAGATTTGTTTGCCAGTTAACAATGACTGACAATGTATGTAGAAAATTCTCTCCGCTCTAGGTTTATTTCCGAACCCGAAACGCCTCACTTCACACAAATTCAGGACACTTTATTCGTTAAAATAAACATTTTATATTAGATTTGTTAGAACTTTGTTTTATAGATTTGGTAGAGTTTGTACCACACTATTCTACAAGTCTTGCTTTTTTAGGCTAATTTATCTCTTGTTATTCCCTGTAATTTGTTCATCTCATTGGCCTGGAGCGAAGCGCCTTGTTCAGCCACTCTTTCCAAGACAGATAAACACACAATTTGTCAGCCACGTTTAGCGATCAGGGACAGAAGACGGGATTCTGCTGCAAAAAACAACAAATGAGTCGAAACTCTACTTACATACCATTACCAATCATTGTTAAAGGAGTATGATCGGAGACAAGAATGGCATTATGCCCTTGAACCCCGGGAGATAATGGGATTGTGGAAGAGTTCAACCAAACATTGCTTGGTGAAATCCAGCTTTAATTTCAGTGCATCACGGACCATCCTATAGGGATCTGGTGAAAAATGGCATGACTTCAGTTTACACTAAGAATCATTGACGGCTTCTTCACCAAATTCTGCTATGGCTAGGCCAAGGTCATAACATTTTAGCTAATCGAAGGATTGAGGATGAGTGGGTCGTTCTCTTGATAAAAAAAAGCGAAGTACAGGTTTGCAACGGCCGAATTAGGTTGTCGCGAGGAGTCCTCTCTTGCCTAAGGTGAGTCGGCAAAGAACAATGAAGGTCAGATGCAGGCTTAAAATGTCTTTTGGTGAGATAAATCTTCAGATTTTCTTGTTCCTATTGCTCGCGAAGCATATTACTGAACTGATTTTTTGGTTAAATATAAAAATGTCAAGTGATATCGTAGATAGTGGCTGCTAACCTGAATGAAATGGAGGGTAGAGAAGGCTTGGTATCACCATTTATTTTAACTCTGTTAGGCTCGCAAAACGCCAAGGTCCACTCAAGAATGGCTAAAATTTTGGCCTCGACCAGGCCTTGTCACCATTCAGGTTGGATTCGAAGCTCGACTCTGTGAGGTTAGATGTAAATATGTTACTTTCGGTAACATACCCACTTAAGTGATCACGGTTAGAATCCCTCCGACCAGATCGTGAGATTTCACTACACTCCTTTTAGCTGTCGCATAGAGTGAAACTGAAATATGAGACACAATTTTATTTTTAATTAACCGTGGGTATTATACCAAAGCGATGTGCTATAAAAGGATACAAAAAGGGTTCTCTTCACAAACAATCTTCCTCTTGCTGGTCGTGGCCAATTAAGTAGAAAAGAAATTAGGTCCTGATTTGAATAACAACTGTCATGATAATTTTTATTTTGCATATAAATGTCTGGTGAAGTGATTACTAGATCGATCTGCCGAAAGGTCGAGGGCAGATTTCTGTTGCTTTGCCGTGTTTTGACACTTCTGGGGCGTTCAAGATGTTCATCCTTGGTTCCTCTCAATGGACATAATCAAAACGGAATATCATTCCTGCGAAAACTTCAAGTTAAAACTAAGTAAAAAATCCTAGTCGGGTCATCCTTCTATGCTATATATACTCACAGCGACAACAAAATTAGCTGATCAAAGGGAACTATATAATGATTTTTTGTCAATCCATGTAAAAACTAAAGTTTTTAGTATAAAATATCTTATCAGAGCTTAGCCCAGATCACGATCATCAGGGTCTAGGAACTGCAATTTCACAGTCTCGAATGTACGTCGGGTTGAGTTACGGAACCTCTTAGTCATATACAATGGCTGCGGAAGGTCAGGAATTCGCTGCCGTCTTCTGGTGAATTCGGCCTATTCACATGAAATACAGGTCAGTTTAATAACGATATATTAGGATTAATAGTTACAGTCAAACTAGGTCACATGTGATTAAAGATTGATGGTCGAATGAAGAAAAGTTGGGTTTGGAAGAATCCCTTAAGAGAGTCAAATGTTCTCACAGACGCGTGAGTAGACTTTAAGTTTCCGGTGAATTTCACTTAATTTTGCTTTCCAAAGGCTAACTTCTTCCAGGTAAGGCTAAATTGGAATCAAGACTAAGTGAGCTTCATAGGAAAATTTGAGAACCATTCAACCATCAATTTTTACTCAGCTTATGCGATCTAGAGTGATTATACCTCTTGGTTAAGATTAACTGATAGTTTCTAGACCTACTCTTTATGAAGATATATCAGGAGATTCATTGAAATCGGCTACAGTTTTAATATATCTTCGGCTTAATCAGAAATAGTTAGCTTGTGAAACAGGCCAGTGAGTTTTCGAAACTGTCACAAGTTGGAAGTCTGGACGCAGAGTCAACGTATATCTCTGGTGCCTGGAGTGGCTAAAGGAGGCTATTTTGTGCTGGATGGCACAATAGGCTCCTTGTAAGAAGAAGGCCGAAGAAGAAGTACAGCCAGACGTTACCAAGGAAATTAATTTGAATGTTATTACAAGTATATAATTTATGATAACGAATTGTCTGAAAGCACCAGGCGAATAAGCCTATTGGCATGGCCCAAGTGCCCCAACAAAGGAAGGTGCCATATGCTAAAAATGGTGGGATCTCAGAATTTTAGGTAAGACCCATCTCAGACATGTGATACCTGCATTTGTGTAGGTCAGTGAAAAGATGGAAATTACGAGGGAGCTCACGGCTTTCGGATGATATTACTGCCCGATGCCCCAATTACATGCAAAGACTATCAGCCTCCCCGACGAACTCAAACCAGACATTTGCTTATCAGATGTTAGCATGCAATCTCTTGTCTCTGAAGGTATGGATTGCAGGGCACTGCGTTCTCGGGAAGACGCAGAATTGAGTTGGTACGTTTCTACTTGCTAGCATTTCGCTTTTCCTGAACATGCAATGTAGCACTACTACAATTGAGTCAAAAGAAAATTCTGTCAACAAGGCTTATGCGAAAAATCTTACCTTTGCATATGCACACGTACATACATACGGACGCATACGCATACATTAACACGCATACATACACAACCATCCTCAGGTGCTCAATTATTGCCCCAAGGACATGAAGGCAGACCTCTGTGTCCACCTGTACAGATCCGTGTTCTCCGAGCACCCTGCCTTCCGGTTGGCAAGCGACAGTTGCCTGCGTGCTCTGGCTGTTGGCTTCACGACAATACACACTGCACCCGGCGACCTTATCTTCCATCAGGGCGAGAGCATTGATCAGCTTTGCTTCGTCGCTTCCGGCTCCCTCGAGGTGATCCAGGATGAGGAGGTGGTCGCTATACTGAGTGAATGAAGAGAATATTTGTCTTTTTCTCGTTCCAATTTTCTTGTGAAGTTAATTGAAACTAAGTACCTTTCTGCTTAAAAATGCTCCAGAAATAGTCGTCCGTATCCAATCTTAGCCGGAGGATCCCTTGGCACGTCTATTATGTACTCTAAGTGATTCTAAGAGGGCAAAAACTGCTAGAGATATCACATCATAACCTTCATTTCCTATGAAAGTTTGGCTGATTGAATTCATAGGTTGGTCCCGCTGGAGTCCGAAGGTGGTTTGACTCCAACGCAACAGCCCTTACCATACCGTCCTTCGACTCCAGTCAATCTATGCGAATAAAAGTTGGGTTTCGAGGAATCTCTTGTTTCATAATTATTA